ACTCTTGGATAGGTGCACATCCCTTAAGATTCATTTGGACTAAAAAATTAACACTAGATATAGGCTAAAACCAAAGTCCATGCTCCTTTCCTTCCTCATATGAATAAAATAGATATGTCTTTATATATTTCTGTTTCTTCTGGTTTCTTATCTCCTGTTCCCTCCTATTGCTCTATCACCACTATCTCCAGATGCAAGGTCATAAAGATGTCAGTCTCCAAAGCAGAAATCTTTGCTGGCTCACAGTACAGAGAGGAAGACTGTGCAGGTGGTCAGACCAGACCAACATTTCTGCTATACTTCGAAAACAACTTACACTAGGCTGTCATCATGATGCCAAGCAAGCTTGGTTGAAGAATTAGCTAAATACCAGACATTCTATCAGCCTAATTTAGAATCAATCTTACTTTTTAGTGACGATAATAAACTTGTACAAACATGAGATTCATTTGTATATTTTAGCATTTTATTTCAGTCTTAGAATGAAAAACCTGACACTGGAATCAGTTTGATTTTTTTGGTGATTGAAGATATTAAGCACTACAAGAGCACTGAATTTTCGATCTGATTAGGATAAAAATTCCTCAGGATCAAAACACTTCTTTTTTTTCCCCCTACAGTTTCGCTAATTGTGTGCTACTTGACATTGCAGAGTTATTCCACAGCATGATAGCAAAATATGTGAAGTGTATTTTAGTGTTAGAAATTATCAACTCATTCTATTTGTTTTTCATGTGTTTGAGGTTATTAAAGGAATAAAAAATTATAGCTGATGTGCATAAGTTAAAAGGGTTAGTTCAACTACAGCTGGTAGGCTAAACCACTAAGCAATATTTTGTACAACAATGTAATTTTTCTACTGAACATACATAAAATAAATAATGAATTCTGATTCAAAATACTGATTCAAAAGCAGATTGAAAGGGTAATATCCCTTGAAAAACAGGGGAGCCATGAAAAAGGTGAATGTGGAACAGCTGATTTTCAGAAAGACTGGATTATTCCAATCACTGGAAACCAGATAAAGTAGATCAGAGGGAGTGCTACTAAACATACTCATCAGAGAGTATGCTTTATGGGAAAAGAACTGCCCTGGCTTACTGCTACTGAGGAACTGTATTTCTTACAGCTGTAAATCAAATTCTGAAGAAACAGAATTATATTTTCTAACCAATAACTGAGGACAAGTATCTTTTTGGTCACTGTCAGGTTTCTGAATTTAGACCTCAATTTTTCCAAAATGAAAAAGCACATTATACACCAGTATATACTTGTGACAGTGTTCTTACAAGCAATATATTAATTTTCAAACTGTGGTATGTTGTCCTGCATTTGTCCAAAGGCATATTTATGGTTGCTTTCAGAGGTCTTGCTTTACAATTGTAACACCAAACAATCGGCTGGGAGATTTGTGAAAAAACATGAACACTGAAAGATGAAAGAAGGTAGAAACAATATCCCTAAACTTTCTATTTTGTTTTAGAAAACTTGATGCTTTAATAACTTGTGACATCACCACCACATGCTACTGCATTGGAATACATGCAGGCCTGTGCAGTTTCAGAATATGAATGTTTTATTACCCCACAAGGCCATCAAGCTATAACTAACATAAATCTCCAGCCAGAAATCTTGACCCCACTGAACCTGATGAAATTTTGGCTGTTCACTTTACTGGGGTCAGAATTTTAGTCCATACAAATTTGCTTTTTTAGGGCATAATCCCCATGCCCACTGAAGTCAATGGAAGTTTTTTCCATTGACTGTAACTGACCTTTCATTAGGGCAGCAGCTCCCTTACAAAAGACTTTGTCCTGCTACAGTCCTGCAGACCTTCTTCACCATTAAACTTGTTACGGTCACATTCCTGAAACTGCTTTTGTCTTTTATCTGAGATAGCCTTAACAAGGCCTGTTTTTCAAAGTTTCTAATGGGCTGCTACAATCTGAAGCCATTAACAACCCTCTTGATTTTTTCTGTGTGATTTTTTTGCAACATTTTCTTTGCTTGTTTTCCTCTTTGATGTCTATGAATAAACTGGATGAGAAGGCAAGATGTCTTACTTTTTCAATTTTATTTTTTTTTTTCTGATTGCTGTGAGTGAATAGGCAGAGTATTAGTTTTATTTATGTTTCTTTTTACCCTTAGATCTACCATTGTAATTTGGGATTCTTCTTGTTTCAATCTTGAAAAAATATTTTATCTCCTGTAAAATTAATCAAGATTTTAACCTGCATTCTGCAGTCCTCCATCAAATGCAACCTTTTCTCAAGTCCTGCTTCTACTTTTCAATAAGGCTTTCTAACCATTACCTTAGCTTCTAGCTCCTTTTCAGAATATTGCACAATACTGCCTTCTCCCCTCCCCCACTGTAATATCAACCAATTACTTCCTATGCTGTAATGGCAAATCTGCTGCATTGTCTATTTTGGGGAGCTGCAGTTCTCCTGGGTTTTACTTTTTACAGCCAGTGTCCGCAAATTCCTGAATTTTAGAACTAATTTTATTTCACTAAGCCAGGAAGATTTGCTCTATATAGTTTGGTTAGAACTTGATTTTTTAGGGTGGATATGTTGCTATGAAGTATCCTGGGGTTTTGTGATTTCCTTCTCTTGGTTTTTCTAGAAAATATGTTTCCAAATGCTAGAGAAGTCAGACATCTCTGACTTATAATGGGCAGATATACTTCCTGAGCTATTCCCAAGTCTAATTTAAACCTGAAATTCTTTCATCCAGAGCATGAGTTTGGCCATCTCAGAAAGACAAATGTGAAGTCCTGTACCGGGAATGGACTGATTTTCTGATTGACTGGCTGGGTTGCTGCTTTACAGAAAAGGACCCAGGGATCCTGGTGGAAAGTATAGCTAAGCATGAACCTGCAGTGTGCTCCATGGGCTGTACTAAAAAGTGCATAGCCATTAGATGTCTGTGAAGATAACTAAGCTCTTATTAAGAATAACTGGAACATGCCACTCAGAGAAGCTGTGGAAAGTCTGACCTTGATGGTTTTCAAGATCACCTAGACAATTTCCTTTGATACAGTGTTGATCTTGTTTTGAGCACATGATGGGACCAGGTGATGTCCCTTCCAACTTAAATGATTCTATTGACATCTTGCTCCTATGAGCCAAGAGAACAATTACACGTAAAAGATGGAACCAGCCTCATGTACTGAAAAAATAAATAAATTAGCCTAGTAAAAATAATGATGCTATAGCCACACAGCCAGGTTTGGAACCCCACAGTGCTGGATGCTAACAGAAGAAAGTCCCTCCCATACAGTGAAAGCAGGAACAAAAGTTGAAGCAGTTTTCTAGAAGTCATTCCTGTCTCCAGGGTCTCCTGAGTCCTAGTTCAGAGCTTATACATTGGACCTCCTTGAACTCTGTCTGCAAACTGTCTGCACAAGTCTCTAAGTTTTTTGATGAATGTTTCATAAAGCATATTCTATTTCAGAAAGAACTGGTAATTCAGAAGATTAAGGTCTTTTTCAAATGGGATGTTCATCTCTGCCAGGTGGTATGTTAAGTCTGAGTCATAAATATATTTTATTTCCTTGGTCAGATAGTGTGGTAGAAGTGCAACTTGTCATTTTTGACTTCCAGTTTCAAGAGCACCAAGCAAGTTCCTGAAATTTTTCCTTCATTTCTGAGCAACTGACATATTCTCCAGAATATTAAAAGCTCAAAATGTCCACAATGCAAAATCACTTTGTTTATAATTTTGGATAGTTGATCTTACTTTTTTCCATAGAAATGTATCAACCTGACCTTCTTATGTCAAATGCATGTTACCTTCTGGAAACTTCAGGGACTATTTGAAAGCTTTATAGAGCTTGATCCTGTTGTTGTCTGCCAAATACTATCATCTTGGCTGTCCCTGTTCTCCTGTTTTCATATTTTCTCTTGCAGATCAAGCAAGACACTTTCAGACTGAAGATTTATACTGTCTTCTATTGCAGTCATATCGTTTTGTAAAAGCTAATTAAATGTGTCTATATTTGGGTTTCTACTCTTTTTATTAGGAAATGCTAGAAGCACATGGTGCAGGGGGAGCAGAATTATTCAGATCTGGGACTCTGAATATAAGAGGCAGTTTGCAGATAGTCTTTTACATTAAGAAAAACACACAACTCAATCATAAACGCAGTCAGCCACTGAAACTTGCAAAGAATTATCTGGCTTCACTGCAGGCACAGATAAATTAGAGATTATGGGCCTAAGTCTCTTGCACCAGGCTAAATCAGGAGCACCATCCCTGAAGTCGACAGATTGCAACAAGAAAAGAATTAGGCCCTATGGCTTTTAATAAGAGGAATACAAAGCCTTTAATTACAAGGAATCAAGCTCAACCTCCCTTCCCCTTTACACCAACATAGGCACATACTCTCTGGTAAGGTTTGTCTCTTGTAATATTTTTGTACTTTTGTTATCCTCATCCTGATCAGATACTACCCATGTGCAAATACCAGGGACTTAGATTTACAGATTTTAGAGGGATGGGGGACATTTAGTTGTTAGCCCAACGCAGTTAAAGCACTGGTAGAGCTGTAGATCAATTCTGTATTGAAAAACCTGGTAAAACTCCCAATTTTTGACCTTCATGTTATGACTCAGAAAAAACAACAACACAAAAACAACAACAAAGAGAAAAGTTGATTTTCTGTGCTACAGAAGGAGTTTCTCACCTAAGCAAAATCACTTTGAAGGAATAAAATAATGCACAGCGCCTGTAAATGGACAGCTGCTGGAAACCCTGGTAATGCAAATATAGTATTTTATTCCACATGTGTGGAATAAACACATATATGAACAGTCCTACATGTAAAACAAAAAGACTTGAAAATAAATAATATAAAAAGTTATATTTGAGCCACCCTCCATGAAACTCTATGACAAAAAAAGCAGGCGCAAGATGAAGGCCCCAGTCGTGGAATAAAAATAATATTTCAGAAGCAATCAAGTGTTGTATCAGATTTTTACAAAAATGGAAGTACTTACAGTCTAAGTGACTATGTCTGATGCCTTCCACATCCTCAGCATGAATGAAGTGGTAACATCTCTTTCCTACGATATCTACAGGGGTCAGATCCATGTAATCACTAATCCTAAAAAGGAAAAAAAATATAGCCTATAATTCAAGAAGGAAATTAATCCAAGAAAGTGAAACATGCTAAAAAGATTTTCTTCCACTATAGTAATTTGAATGGAATATCTGTACAAAAAGGGCACATCCTTAAAGAAAAACAAAACAATATAAGACAAAACAAACAAACAAACATACATTTTTAAAGAAACCTTTGAATAATTTTACCCATTTAAGCAAGTGGAAAGTTAAATTCTACTGCACATTCTCCCTGGAGCATAACACCAAGACAATATAATTCCATGAAATTGTAAAGCTTTAGCAACAATCCAAAATCCTCATTAAAAGACCAAGATGATTCAAGGTTACATAATGAAGTAAAAACATGTTATGTTTATACCAAATGATTAGAGACACATTTCATTTCAACAGATTGGTCTTCTATTGGGTATATTCATGAAAAAGCTCTTCAACCATTTCTTGGCACCAAGTCCAAGCTGATATTTCAAGGGATATAATTTAAATGCTGAGACACACAGATGCCTCAGGGTGTTATCTTTTTTAGTCTAATTCATTTGGGAGCTCAGCTTTCACTCTGGGCCCTTTCAACTGGGACTTTGTTGTTTATTGCACATAGAAACTTTAAAATCTATTCTGCAGACCTTTGTGTGCATGTGTCTGTGTGTGTGTGCGCGCTTGTGTCAGTGTGCATGTGTAAACTTCTGTCATGGAGTGTCAAGATGTCAATGTCCTTAATCATAGCACACAAAGTAACAAAACAATTGGAAAATGCCTTGCTCACACAAGCTTTTGAAAGCATGTCTTTTTTTCCTAGAAACAGAATAATTTTTCAGGGTTTGAAATTGTTTTAAGCCCATTTTGCAATTGGAAGTTATAATTGCCATCCATTTAAGGGAGAGGTTAGAAACAGTAAGCATCTTGATATAACCAGATAGCTAAAACTGGAGTGTGGTGCTGGGGGAGGCTAAACCAGAAATCAAACCGTGTAGGTCTGGGGGGTTCCTAGGGGGTAGAGGGTGTGAACACAGCCGCTGAGACACTGACTTGCAGAGTTCTACATGCCTGGGAGTCTGAGGCAGGCAGAATGCATAGACCAGAAAGACTGAAAGAAAATGGAAGGATTAGATAGCACCACAGCTGCACTGGTGGTTTGTCCCAATTAAAAAACCAACAAACACGAAAAACATCACAGGTAAAGCAGGTGGACTCAATTTGCTAGTAAAAATTGTCAGATCAAGTTTGGCACAAAACACAACAGCCTTCTCCCACTTTCATGATAGAGCTTGTTGAAGGATGTGCACTTTCAAAAAACTGTCTAGCAGTTCTAGAACTTAACCAAATATGGGATACTCATCTAGGGATACCCATCTAATGTTTATCACAAACCACAGTTAAAAAGCATCTCTCTTACCTTCTCAGAGAGGATGCAACTAACCAGGATAAAGATGAGTCTAGAACAGTGGCAGTGGGACTCCCTGTCTGTCCTGCTGAGTTCCTCCACTTTTGTTGCACAGTGAGTTAGGGGCTAGGAAAGCGAGGACTTGGGACCTCTGCCTAGTGAAAAGAAACCTCACCAGAAGGAAGGGAGTCTGGGATTTAAAGGTTCCTGTCCCCTGAACTGTATGTTAACCTTTCTGTACTAAACTGGAGTGTATAAATGGTCCATGAAGCAGGAACCACAAGACAAGTCTCTCCCGCTCCCATGTCTATGCTCTCCTCACTGACACACTCTGCTGTCTCTTCTCTGGCCCAAAAACTGTGTGTTTTCTGTTAGGGGGTGGTGCTGCTTTAAGATCAGGCAGAAGAAATCCCACCCTGCCCAGCCTAGTAGCACGGGGCAATCTCCAGGTAGGCTGCTGCCCTGTGATGTACCCAGGGTGCAGGTGCTATGGCTCAGAGGGCTAGCATGGAAGATGACCATTCCTCTTTTGGTAAATCTGACTCAGCTGTATCTTGTTTCTCTGTAGCAGCATGTTTGTGTAAAGTCTTCACAAAGAAAAACACAGTTGTCTGAACACAGCAAGGCAACTGTGGAAGCAGATTCACAATCCCTTAAGTTTAATGATAATATTAAGAAAAAGCTGTTTCAAACAGCCACAGGAAGGCCACACAATTTTATTTTTTTTTAAAGGAAAAAAGAAGAAGAAACAGAAAGGATATGCAGGTGTAAATGATCATCACTGGCAAGCAATGACACCAGAACCAGAAGCAAAAGAAATTAAATCAAATAGGACACTCATGCTTATATCAGAGGTACCAAAGATGGGAAATAAATAATGGAGAAAAGGAATAAATACTACAGCATATCTTATAGCACTAGTTAGCAGACAGATCTTGTGGCTCCCAAGCCCTTTGACAAAAAAAGCAACAGGTTGATGAATAGGAACTCAGTTCTGCTGAATACAGAGACCTGATTCTGTAAAACATAATCACAGGGTTACTTTTGAGCAGATCAGTTGTTCTAGTGACTTACAGGTCTGCTAATGTGATTGAAATTTAAAGATAGGTATATGGTACAGTTCTTTGCTGAATTAGGACCAAATTGTCCCACATTTGTAGCTCTAAGCTCTAAGTTTTCTACTCAGTGCTGCTTCTGCATGTCTAAAGGAACTACTGGCGACCACTATCATGGATAACAGGTCAAACCTCTTGCCTTTGGAAAACACCACATACACTGGGTTATTTCTTTTTGGGCACATACTAGTCCACATTAAATTGGTCTATAGTCTATTGTTAGATGGTCTCAAATCACTATGAGTTGACACTGAAAACACACAGACTAATTATGTACTCTAGCAGTAGTCCTCATTTTTATTTATCACCACCTAAGATGATTTGTCCTCTGCAGATGCTTTTCTCTCTCCACAGAACAATAAAGAGATTCTAAACTATTGTAGACTAGATGGTGAAATTTAGATTACAAGAATCTCACATTTGAAAAACAGACTTGGATTAACACCACATTTTAGGGAAAAAAAAATTACAACCCCAATAACCAGCATAAAAAAAAATTGTTAGAAAGAGTTAATGCACTAGCTAATGGATCTCGACTAATAGAAAAGCTAACTGCTGTCTGGTTTGGGCACTGCATCCAGGATTCTGATGCAGATGTCTTAATTCAGAGGAAAGTAACAAGATGCACCCAAAGACTTGAGTAATGTCACTGCTTCCTGCTGCTGCAAGCAGGCAACCACTTGGAAAACTAGGAGTACTATTGATCTCACCCCTGCTGGTCCAATGGTCCACTGTGAGCATTCATTTCAGTTAAGCAGCACGGCTTCTGCTCCATGCTCCCCACAGCTGCCAGGAACTCCCCATTGCTCCATAAATAGTGCTTACAGCTTCCCCAGCATGGATCCATTTTTCTCTGTTTTCATCAATGTTGTACTTGCATTACTGTGGCACCACAAAGAATTTCCCCTCTGCCCACAGTGTCAGGAGTCAAGCCCATATATTCAGGATGGGATACTTATCTTCTTTTCTATAGTCTCAGAAGAGAGATCCCAACTTCACTGACTCGGAGAATGGCCTTGGCATATGCCCAGATAATTCATCTGAGGGCTTCTATCAGCTGCTCAGTTAATTCCTTCCCCTTTTCTATCCTTTCCATTCCTCCAGCTTTTACAGTCACCTTCTGCTTTGAACCTGCTATGAAATCCAAGTCCTTTCCATCTTACTCCATTTTCCATCAGTGGAAATCCCGCTGCCTCAGTGAGCCACCATTCACCTCCCAGCTCCAGCAGAAGTGCTTCTATTATTTTAAATTCCTTTTATAAACTATTTTTAAGACTGACACAGGGGCTTAAAATGAAACTTGTAAGATAAATTCAAGCACTGTCATATGTGTTCTACCGAAGTATATGACATAAAATCCATCACAAGCAAAGAAAAGTTGTTTTATAATGTTGCCTTTACCTTAACAAATGAAAAACATTAGTAAGCTCAATCCTTTCTTGTACATGTCAGCTGGTTTATCAAAGTTTACCAGGTGTTATCAGCTCTTTCTATGTGATTACCAATCAGTACTCCACGTATGATGAATTTTATTTTTTTTCAGTGGTGCTTTTCTCAGGCATTTTAAAATTTTATTGCTACATGACCATAAAGGGAAGGTTGGAGAAAAAATGTTTAATTTAAAAAAAAAACAAACATATACAATTTAGGGCTCATAAAAATGGCAAAATGACGACAGAGAAAGTATAAATCTTTCTAACACAGTCCACAAATCCGTATCATACTTGACCTGGTGGCATAGTTAATTTTTCACATCCATTTCATTCCAGGTATTTTTGTTGCAGTTGCCAACAAAGGTAACAGTAAGTGCAGGTGATTTTGCTAAAAGGAAATCTGTTCATTAGCAACTGGACAGATACCAGCAACTCATTTCTCAGAGCCCATTGAAGAGCCCTGCAGTGGTAGCAGCTTTCCATTACCACCTAGGTAGGTCACAGTCAAATCAAAGAGTAAGGCAAAGGTTTCTTCTGCATCCTGCTGCTAATCCTCAGAGCTCTTTTACCAGCTGCCAGATTATACAGAATCTAGAAACTCATAGGGTGGAGTCACAGGCAAAAACTCCGCCCAAATTCTGATACTGGCTTTCTCTGTGACCTTGTGCAAGCTACTTTCCACAGAGCTTTTTCAAAGCTTAAAAATGAGAATAATATATATTCTCTGTTAGATAATGCTTTGGAAATTTAGATGAAGTGTCCTCTCTAATAGCCAAGTAATACTATAATTTAATACAGTTGTGGTGGTTCAGCAACATGACAGCAAAGAGAAACTCATAACTGAATTCCAAGAGTATTTAAAATTGTTTAAGGCCCTGATTCAACTAAGCATTTCCCTTTTTAGGAAAGTTTATATTGTTGTGCTATCCTGATCACAGGTGTTCTAACTGAGAAATTATGATTGCTCAGATCAGAGAGCTTCCACTCATAATATACCACAGCTGCTGTCACATGAAAAGCTTGCATTAGTCATTTTGTTCATTCCACTTTTTGCTGATAGGTCCCTTTGACAAAATTTCTTTTGGCTGCATTACCTTCTTTCTTCCTTTCCAACTTACCATACTTCAGACTTCCATCAATGGATCCTGAGTTCTTTATTACTTTTATCTTCCTTCTGAGGTATTCACTCTTCTCTAAATACTTATTCTGTAGATTTTATTCTTATTTTTCAGGGTCCTGAGGGCACCAGTAAGCCTTAATGCTTATCACCAGATCCTCTGGATCCTTCTCCCACCCTGCCCACAGCCAGGACACCATGTCAGCCCTTCAGGGCTCCCCACACCAAGCCTATGGCTCAGGACCCCCTGTCAACCCCTGTCCCAGCTGCCCTGCAGTATGGCTGGTCTCCAGCTCCCCAATAGATCCATTGAGCATTCCGGCCTGGCCTCAGTCTATCCCCAGCAAGGTGCCCAGTGCCTGCTGCTCCAGTGCCCCCCTGCTGCCCTGCTCCTGGCTGGGCCCTGGCTGCCAGGCCAGCCCTGACAGACCCCCATGGGGAGCACCCAACCCTATCAGCAGCTAGACCCCAGGAAGCAGACAGCTAAATTTAAATTCTACCTCACACATTCATAGATCACTTGTTGCTACCACTTCAAATGTAGCTCCCCCTCCACCAACTCCTCCTCACCTGTTCCTGTTTCATGCTGTCTTTCTGAGTATGCCCCTAACCAATTTTATTCTACAGTTTTCCCACCTCTTACTGAAACAGATCCCACCTCTCCAGCCTACTATCTAGACCATCTGTGCTTCTGTTCCATTAAACACTGAGCATGATGTGCTGTAATCTGCCAATTAGTTAAAAAATGGAAAATTTAAAAATTCAGATAGGAAGACATGGGGGGAGGATGGGGGAGCATAAGGACAGCCATACAGGTTAGACCAACGTCTGTCTAGTCCCAAATCTTGCCTCTGAGACGGATGGTGAAAGATTGCAAAGAGTAGGG